AATGCGGATACAAGTTGTTTCTGTTGAATAAGGGAATGGAGTGGAAGCAAATTGCCTTTAATGGATTGCCTCACAATGATGGAATATTCCAGCATACTTATATAGAAGATAAGGTTATGTTTTCCCCTGTAACTGAGGTCCCCAAATTTCAATTCCATGAGTAAAGGAGCTGCTATTGTTGATGTTGAAACAGTAGTGACCATTAAAATCACATGGAATGTCCAGGCAGGAGTATGGCAGAGGAAGCCCGCAATCTCTGTTCTATCTTTGTTATATGATTTAGCTTTTCTCAGTGGCTTGGAGAGACCGCCAAATAATAGTTCAGTATTTTCTCCGTATCTACGAGGAAATATGATTTTGAGCCGTTTCATGACCAGACATTCATACCTTGCTTTCAGTCACAACCAGTATCTATGTTGCCACAGGGACAGCTTAGAAATGAGAAGGCGTGCATTTTGGTTTGGCTGTTGAAATTGATCACTACCGTGGCCCAAAACTCAACTGGTGTGGGCATTTATTCTCTGAAGTCAATGTTTGTTGTAGCCGCATGAAGGACTGGTTGACTTTATAGTGCCATCAAGAACATTTTAGATAGCCATTTCTCAAAAACTACCCTGTTTTGTGGTGGTGACCAACTGTTCGCTCCTCTTTATACTGCATGTGGATTGCGTACCTGTGCTGATTTGCACCAAGGATAGTGTTTCCCAAAGTGAGGACGCAGACTCCTAATGGAGCCTCTATGCTCTGGATCATCTATGGCTGCTGTGGAGCATTCACTGACTTAAAACAACTGGTTTCTAACTCCACCAGGCAGGCTCCCATTTTCACACACATCCCCTTGCCAGCTCTGCCCTCTCTTGCACTTTTTGCTGAGTGATTGTAACAGCATTCAAACCTCGAAATGGGGTTCCAGGTGGAAAGGTTTTTGGTGGCACTGCTTGAGGAATTTCACCTCTCTCTTTCACGATGTGGATTAGTCGTGATGCAGTTTCATCACTGCAGGGAAAGACCAAGTTGTCCAAATTGCACCCACCAGGATTCGGAAAACTTGTGTGACTGCATGACTATTGTTGAGGAGGGGAGTGTTGGTTAGCTCAGTTATCTGGACGGCTGGGGGATTTGCGATGCAAAGCGATGCCAACAGCGTGTGGGTGTGTATTCCGTACCAAATGAGATCACCATGAAGGTCTCACCTTCTCAACCCCTGTCCCTATCCTGAGGCGAGTTGAGCCTCAGGTTAAACTCACCGCCAGTCAACTCTGTCTAATGAGAGAGCAGCCCTATGGTCCCCTGGCACTATGGTGTCCTTCCCTTAGGGAGTTACAAATCACAGAGCATAAAATAACATAGAATAGGAGTAGGCCATTCAGCCCTATGAGCCTGTTCATAATTTAACTTCATTTCTTTCAATATTGCGTTCAACATAACATTGATAAACTGGGGAGCTTTCCTTTAGGTTCCTGTGATCTAAGTTTAATTACATGAATGTCTGCTGATCAGGTAATCGTGACTTGTGCAGATACAAGCTGGTTCTTCCAACTCAAAACAAAATTGAGCAAAATGATGGGGTACATACACTGTTTGGTTTAGTGTTATTCTATAATTAATGAAGACATTATGTAACCTGAAATTCCTGTTTTTTTTTTGTGAATGTGAGATACTTGGCTAAGCCCAGAGATAAATCAAATTCATCTTTTTTCTGATGCGGGGTAAAGTCAAAAATGTTATTTTGTTTGTATCTGTGAGCCCCGTATTTGTAATGAACTTTGTATTTCTGCAAAGTATCATTTTGATTTGTCACTGAACTGGTGCAGGAGTACTTGGGACCTAGGTGAAACTTCAGCCTTGCACTCCCGTTCTCTGACAATTGACTTTCAAAAATAAATATGGTGCATTAATATGAACAAAAACTCTGCATATATAATTACAGATTTATTTTACATGAGAAAGGAGGCTATTATGATCGACATTATTGAGACTATATTATTGATTCTGCGCTCATCGCTCTATACTTCCCAAAGGCTATGTACAGAATAGAAGAAATGTATATTATAATGTGTAATTATTTAATGGTTTATAGTTTTGGAATACTCGTGGACGGACAAATTTGTAAAACTTGCTTAGGTAGGATGTGGCATATAAAGTGAAATCTTGGGAAAGATTGCAGTGCAATTACATAGAAGTTTTTATGTCTCAGCATAAGTTTATGTATGTAAGCAGATTTGGACTTTGATTCCCACTGCTGAAGCCAATTTCTTTACTTACGCAATTAATTTCATGAATAGCTCCTTTGGTTTTCGTGACTGTACCAAATTGCTGCCACTCTCTGAGACTGCCTCGCTTGCCTTGTGATTGCATTCGCCTTGATTTATTGACCAAACCTGATGGTTTCAAACGAGCCTTGTCTACCCTGAATGTATTCAGAATCACCCTCAACATTTTTGATTTCTAAACTCTTTCAGGCTGTTTTGCTAAAGAAATATGTTAGATTACCTACATTGAAGATTATCCTCGTTCTGTTCAATGAAATGTCTCTTGTGTACCAATGTTTTCAGTTATTATGGGAAATTTATTGCCAGCAATTTTAATAAGTATTCTGTGCTTAGCTGGGATTTTTGTTGCTGCTTTGAACAAACAAAAAGCTAATTTGTCAACCCAGGCAATCTGCTTTTGTATTGACAGTGAAAGCGTGGAGAGTCATGTGGGTGTCATCCCTATACCAGGAAGACATTGATCATTTTTATATAGGAAATGAATCTACAGCAATTATTCCATTACAAAACTGGCTATAATAAGATGGTAGTTTTGGTAAATGTTTTATTTTACTATTACAAATAATTGAACCTTACATTTGGGATAAGTTTAAGAATTTTTCAGTTTGCTGAAATGTATTTTTTGAAGCACCTTTACCATTTTAACATTTTGCAGACAAATGCTGCTGTCCTGATAGACAGCTCACCTCCAGCTGAAATGGTCAATATTTCAAATTGTGTGATGCATGTCCTGACGTACAGCATAACTGTTACTTTGCTACGACTGTTAGCTGTGGGTTGTTTACTGCTGGTGTACTTGAGATCTGCCAAGCCTGGTTTTGAAGAATATCTTGGGTTTCTATGTATAGTATTTAATAAGGTTAAAGGGCGAGATGGTGCCTTTTAATTAGCATGATATCTTGCTTGGGAGCTGATAGAGCGCCTCATTGATTGATGTCAGTAACCTCATCTATCCTGTCATGGGAGTCCCAGTCGTCAGCTGAACTAGTCTGTCCCTTAAGTGGTGCAAACAATTTTTGTCTGAACTGTTTTTGAGTCTATAGACCTGCTGGCTGCATGAATTTAAAAGAGCATTGAGCTTCTTTAAAAAAAAACATGCAGCCTCCCTGAGGGATGCCTGTGCCAGTTGGGAAGCGAGTAGAAAGCTTGGGTTCTATTCTGAAAAAAAAGAGAGGAATTTTAAACAGTGGTGATCAGGTTTAAAATGATTTGTATTGCTAAAATAGTTTGTTTTGCAGAGGGTGATATACACAGAATACCATGTTGTGTTAGACAATATTCCCTGCTTTGACCAGATACAGCAGAACTAACTAATTAACAAATGATTTAACTTCCATCTGTCTATTTTAAATACTGATTTAATAATTCACCCTTGAGATACAAAGTGATATTGAAAAATTTGGAGAACAGTAAATTTTTTGAAAATAACTTGTGTAGCTAAGAAAATGAAATCTGCAAGTATTTTTTGTCTTTGCTGGAAGTATTGTAATAGATATGATGCGTTGTATTTTTAATCTGCTGTCACATCAGTTATACAATTTAAACAAAAATGTGGACTCCCATTTATTGAAGTGGTGAAAAAGTACACAGGCCCATAAAACCAGTATAATGCACTGTTGTAGATATGGAAGTTGCACGACAACACAATGTAAAGTTCTGAAGGAAGGCAGTTGTGCACTAGATTTCATTGCTGAGGATCCTTAAAGCCCAAATTGTACTCCTGCTAGAACCAAAGCAATTTGGTGGGTACTGTTCGCTGAGCTATCCCTGCAAAGAATAAGATTTGTATTTGATGTACGGATCACATAATGTTTGCAAGTGGAGCTCACTCTATTCTCATTAACAGTTCATTTTGTCATAAATCGTGAATTTTCAAAGAATCCAAGTTAGCTGCATCCTTCAGTATGTGAAACAAATCCTTAAACCGGTTCAAAGGTTTCCTCCACTGTTTACTTGCGCAGTTGTGGAGAGTGCAAAAATTTCATCACTGTGCATCAGCATCATTACAAATTCCTGAAAGTTTTACAGCAAGATATAAAATGACTTTATTGTGGTGTATTTAAATCTTGTAAATGAAATGGCTGCTGTGGCTACCATCTCGTGTTTCATTATTGTGGCATGTTGCTATTAGATTTATTAAAATCTAGATTTACTGAAGTGTAGCATGCAAGATGAAATGCTTGCCTCAAAACATGTGGCATGTAGTTTTTTTTGTGATTCAAATAAACCTACTGGGATTTTATAGCACAAATGAGGATGGTGCATTTATTTTAAGTTTTGGCATTTTTTTTATTGCCACCATTTAGTATTTTTTCCAATTTGCATTGTCAGCACATGTTGCGTCTGAAACCCTTGTGTTGACTAAAAAACTGGTGGCTAGTCTGTGATGCATGTATCAGCAGACGTGGCTTACCCATATGGTGCAGTGCTGCTTGTAAAATCCATATGGTTCTGTTGAAGGGGATCCCAGTGGGGATGAGAGGGGGTGTTAATGCCCTTTAGGCCAAGCTATTCCCTCCTGGTGCTCTTTTCCCATTGTCAGTACAGTCTGTTGAAGCATAAATTTGATTCTTGTTAATAATCAATGAAGTTCATTGTAGTTGATTATTTCAATACAGGAACAGCTATTTGTATATTGATTCAATTCAGAAGGTTATACTCAGGCTTTCTGTGGTAGATACAGTAGTGATTCAGATCCAAGTCTAACATTTTTATTATTCTTCACAGGAAGTGCTGCAGACTGTGCCGAAGTTTTGCTTTCCTTTTGATGTTGAAAGGTACAGTATTTGCCTAATAAGCCAATAATTTTGCATTTTACTCTCTTCTTTGAAATAGAATCCAATCTTAAGAGAGAACTTCCTAAAAACCAGCACAGAGGAACAATGAACATTTGAGGTTTTTTTTTATGAGAACAGCAAACGATGCATGTACATGTCCCAGTTGATTCTTGAGAATGGATGTACACTCCTAGTTTAAAGAAGCATTGATAAATCTTTCATTTTGAGAGACCTTATCTGCAGTTAATGATGTGTTGGTGCCTCTTCTGCAACAGCAGCTTTTGAAAATCCAAGCCCCAACATTGACCTTTTAACTAACGACATCCTCTTGAGTCTTCACGCTTGAGTCTTCCAGTTTATTGTGAATATTTTTGTAAGCATTTAAGAATGAGCTTTTGCTCTATTTGATGGGGTGGGTTTTAAATATGCCTGGTTGAAGGTTTGATCTGCTTGTAAAACAAGGCTCCATTGCTGCCATCCAGTGGTGTACTTACTGATAGAACTGATTTTGTATAAAGCAAGTGCACCACCACTTACAAATATTAGTCTCCTTCAAAAATAATTTTGATTTTATTTCCTAACTTGTAAAGAGTCTTCAGGTTTTTATTTGCACTATTAATTTAATGTACTTTAGTGTTCATCTTCAGTTTGACCATACTTTCTCCTTTTACCCACGCTGTCCTTAAACAGCAACATATGCTTGCCTGCATACTTTCATGGACGTTGGCAGATTTCCTTATTAAAATAGGCAAACATTTCTTCAAATTGTTAGGTGGACCAGACATTTTAATTATATTAATTATGTATTGATTGCACAGGCTTATTTTTATACAGTATAGGTTTCCATTCTTTGTGTGGTTTATATCAGAATGCATAAGCGTAATGGTACCTTGCGCAAAAATTGTTGTGTTTGGAGGAACCTTACCACACTCTTATGAATTTAAGGCAAAATATCAAATTTCTTGTTAATGTTGAAGGTCAATATCCCTGTTGGAAATCAGAAGCCTTAGCTGAACTTGGTAAATTCTACTTTTCAGTTGCAAGTTATTCATGGATACAAAAAAGTGTATTTGAAAACTCAAATCCTTTATTGACTCTTTCTCAAGTGTTTTGTATTGCACAAGACACCAATATTGCAGTATTCGTTTGCAGTTAGCATTACCTTCTTCAGTGAAAATTACAAACCTGTTCAAGTGCTTTCCTTCCCTATCTTCTGTGTTCCTAACTTTTGCTAAAGAGCTTGCTTGCATGGTGAACTTTAGCTCTGATGGAGGATGCACAAAATGGAAAGCCAACAACCTACCTCCCCCTTTTTCAGTTGCTGGCCAACCTGGTTCAAACTGTTTCTTGTTTTGCTTTTGAAAATTCCTGAAATTATTTTTATTGAATTATCATTTTAATAATATTTCAGTTTAGCCCTCCTTAACCATTGTAGTTTAATGTTTTGTGCCTGACAGCAGTTGACCATTAAGATTTTATTTGCCAATTAATGTTGCGTATGGTTATTTTCAGGGTTTCACAGAGTCAAGTGGGACAGCATTTCACTTTTGTGCTTACAGACATCGAAAGCAAACAGAGGTTCGGCTTCTGTCGCTTGACCTCAGGATGTAGAGTCTGCATCTGTATCCTCAGGTATGTGGAATTAAAACGATTTGCAAACATATTCCAGATAAGCAAACAGTCCTGAAGTGCAGTTGATATCTCATTCTGCAGCACGCCTTGAGGCTTGTCCACTGGCACTAAGACTGATAGATTTTGGTTAACCTAAGGTATTAAGAGATATACAGCAAAGGCAGAGGACATATGGAGTTATCTCACACATCAGTCATAACCTCTTTGACAGGCTTGAGGGGCTAAATTTCTGTCTGCATGTTCCTTCTCCTGAACCAAATGCATTTTCTAATGCCATTGGCCTGTTTTGTTTTTGATGAATTGCTGCATTGATCATGAACGTTTTTGAGAGATTTTGTTCACGATGTTTTGAATTCTTGGTTTCAGTTTTGTTCTTTGTCCCTTCTCTGCCTCTATTCTCAGACGTCTTATATCACTTCCAGTCTCGGGTGAGTCAGGGCTTCCTCCGGTAGAATCTTGGTAAGGCTGAAGCCACCTTCTTCAGCTTCAACTGCAAACAGTATTGTAGAAGTTCAGGAAGGCCATTCACTGCCACCTTCTCAAGGGCCGTTAGGGCTGGCCTGGTCAGGGACACCCACATTCAGTGAATGAGTATGTACATTAAAAAAAAATTCCTTCACCATTACTTCTACCCTGCTCCCTAGCCACTGCCTTAGGAAAACCTTCACGTTCAGCATGCCATTTAAACCTGAGTTGATCTTCTGATCATGTTTGCTTTTTGTTAGAAACAGCATCAATTCTCATTGTCACCATCCATCTGCTCCCAAAGCCTTCATTTATGCATTGGGGACCTCTGTAATTGACTTTCCTGTTTTCACAAAATTCTGAAATTTAGATTCCTTAGTCCCCTTCTTTTTCTGTGCCTTTCAACTTTAATGTCCTTCAACCTGAAATGCCACCCAGAACTTTCCGTTTCCATGATTTGCGGCCTTTTATGCATTTCACAGACTCTTCACCCAATATTGTTGATTACTCTTGTGGCTGTAACAGTCATTGTGTTTTGAAATTTGTTTCCTAAACCTTGTGACCTTCCTCTCCTTGTTTACGTTTCTTAGTAAGTTTTAATCTTTCCTGGTTTCACCCTGAATTCCTACTTTTGATTATGTTTCTTTAAAGCAGCTTGGCAATTTTTCAAAATCAAAGGCACAGAAAACGGAAGTTGTTAGTAAGAAACTGAATATTTAAATGGAGAAATTCTGAAATTTCAGTCAATCAACAGCAGAAGAAGAAAAGATGGGGTAACATATTGACTGTAAAGTCTTTGACTTATTTCGATATTGGATTATACCCAAAATGCTAACTTATCCCTACTTGGACTGACCAGCTTTGCTATGTCCTGCATTCTTTTTAATTGAATGTGTCGCGTGTCAAGTTGGTTTTTGCATAAATTCAACCAAAAGTAAGACTTCAGTTAATAGGCACAGATGACAAACTATATTATTGAAGTTTTGTCTTTCTGTGCCTTTGTTTTTGGAATGCTATTGTCTTCACTGTTAATTCCATTTCTGCATATTATCAACTGATATGGCTTGCATTGAGCAAGGACGGTATACCACAGGAACGGATTCTTCAGCCCACCATGCCTGTGCTGACCATGATGCCGTTCCAAACTAATTCCATTTATTAGCACATGGTCCACGTCCCTCTCTTCCCTGCCTGTTCATGTGTCTGTCCAAATGCCTCTTAAACATTGCTGTCATAACCGCTTCTACCATCTCCCATGGCAGTGTGTCCCAGGTACCTACCATTCTCTGCATTTTAAAAAAAAACTTGCTTGGCACATCTGCTTTCAACTTTCCCCTTCTTACTGTATACATATGCCCCCTAGTATTTGACATTACAACCCTGGGAAAATGTCTCTAGCTATCCAACGTACCTGTTCCTCTCAATTTTATGTACTTCTATCAGGTTGCTCATCAGCTCGGATGCTTTCGCAAAAGCGATCCAAAATTGTCCAATCTCTCCTTGTAGCTAATACACTCCAGGTAACATCCCGGTAAACTTCTTTTGCGCCCTCTCCTCTTTTACATTTTTTCCAAAACCTCCATATCTTTCCTATAATGTGGTGACCAGAACTGTACACAATACTCCAAAAATGTGGCCTGACCAAAGTTTTATACAGCTGCAACATAACTTGCCAACTTCTACACTCAGTGCCCCAACCGATGAAGGCATGTATGCTATATGCCGCCTTTAAAACTTAACACAATTGTGTTGCCACTTGCAGGGAGCAATGGACTTAAACTTGTGTCTATGGTTTTCATTTTTGATAACATATCAAGGAGGCTTTCTGAAAAAGAAAACTGATAAATTGGAATTGTTAATGCAAATTTGGATTTTCATCTCCTTTAATGAGAGCAGACTGAGAGGTGTAACAAGAATTGGGCAGGTGCTGGTGAAGTCCACTTGAACCTCCTGAGGGAGTAATGAAGTGGCACAGCTCCTCTAGCCTGTTCCAATTTTGTGACCGTGTTCTTGGTGATTTTAATTTCTCATCATATTCATGACCTTTCATGGTCAAAAACTGGTGAAGATCTACTGATGGGAGTGGAGCACTTTGCAGGGTAACATTTTAAATTGAGGTACCAAAGATAAAGGAATAAAATTGACATGTTGTCAGTTACAAATTGGAGTGTCACAACCTTTTCCTTATTTGGCTGGTGTGGATGGTTTGTAGCTTTTCGTGTTGTTTGTTGGTTTTGGTCTTGGGTAACCTTTACACTTTTCATTGACTGATGGAATTCTCTTTAATACTGTAGAAATTCCTATTGTTTCAGAAATAGCTGTCTTTAAGTGTTATCTTTTCAGCGTATAGTTTGTCAACAGATTCTCTTTATTAGGTCATCCAGTTTCGGGTAGTTAACTGCTTACATTTTGACATTTTACAATAGATGATGTGTTTCACTACTTTCTGTTCCTATAAGTTAGCTATTGTCATAAAGTATATTTTGCTTTGAGGTAATTGAATTGTAATGTCAGAACAAAGAAAATCTTGAAGAGTTGAGCATTGAAGATTTCAGCATTTTGCTTTTTTAAGCATATCGTGGCTCAGCGCATTAAAATTTGTTATATAATTAACAGTTTTCTTTCAGTAAATCCTGCTGACTGACTGTTCTACTTGGCATAGTCTAAAATTGTTGCTAGAATATAAAGCAGATATCTTGTTTTATTTAGGATATAGTATTTTCTACAGATGAATAACTTTCTCTATTTTTAGATGGAGAATGTATAGCAGGCGAGGCAAGTTATAATTCTGATCCCACGGATACTTTAAGATAATTTGTTTTGTCAATCTCGACCAGTTTATTCCTGAATTATTTTGGAGGCAAATACGTGCTGCATACATAATGTAAGGATGAGTGGTGATGAGTCTTAATAATGACCATAGCTGTTAAGAACAAAACTGATGCACTGCATGCATTGTCTGTAAGATAACACAAAGTAAAAAAAATTTGCAACTGTATCATTTTTTATCCTGATTTTATACCACAAAAGCCATGATTCGCATAAATAAAATTTTGCTGATGTCTTAATGAAACATGCCTTTTCAGCAGACAACAAGCTTTCAGTAGACTGTTGATTTGCTAAAACTAGAAATGTATTTTATTGCTACAATAGTTTATGTGACTTTATCAGCCCTTTTGGAACTGCTGTTTCGATTCTCAAATGTGGCTCTTTGAACTGTCTAAATGATTTTACCTCGTTTGGCTCTTCGCTGTTTTCTCTAGATATGATATTCAAAATAAAAATGAATATTCTTGCTGGTTTTCTTGGGATTTTTCTTTTTGCTTGATGTCTATCAGCACAATTTTTATGAATCACTTTTATGACTCAACAATGAAATCAGACTTCAGAAATCTGCATGGATCCTTTCTTCACCCATATCCTCAATAGATCAATAAAGAAGCCATTATAATCTAGAATGATCTTAATCAATTACTGTTGTGAAGAATTTTGCACATCTGGAAATTGGCACAATCCATGTCATCCCATGATTTTAATGTTGTATTTTTAATTCCTTCGTGCAAATCTACTTGAAGAGATATCCATGTGTATTGTTATAAAATTGGAAGTGTTCTCTTTCCTGTTTTACAGCAGTCACTACATTTCAAAATTACTGCACTGACTGTAATGTGCTTTGATGTCTCAAGCCGTTGTGAAAAGCACCGTAAAAATGCAAGCATTTTTTGCCGAGGAGAAGCCTTAAATGAGATTATGTCTTTTAACAAGGCTGAATTGTGGTAGGAATATCGATAGATGTAGTGTTTTTATTTTTTTTTACAGTTCTCAAGGAATTGAGCATATTTGTTGAACAAAGTATGTTTGGTTCTGCAAAGTAGGAATAATCAAAATGATTTAAACACTATAAAAGTTATTGTCCTTCAAAAATTTTGGTGAAAATTTTTCTATTTCTAAATTACTAACCTAGTTTACATGCATCAGAATTTAGTTGGCAGAATGATAAATTTTGATTGTTTTGAGAATTTTTTCTTTGGAAATAAAAAGCATTTTAAGCATTGAACCATTGGGAAAAAAAACCTTGGAATACCATAAATTTTGTTCTAAGTTAGCAGTCCCTCTGTGTCTCTGCATTGTTATTCAAGTCTTTTTTTTTTAAATAAAAAAATTTGCGGTTCAGTGGTGCTGTGCTGTACCAAGGGTAATGCACAGATCTACACCCAAACCCTGACACGGTAAGTTAGTATTTAAACTGTATTGTTGTGAGTAAGTATTTCCCCATTGTGTGAGGAAAAGAAAATTGGGAAAACTATTCAAGGGTAGATCTAAGCACTTCTGTTCGGATAGCAATAGTGGCAACAGCTTCTGTACAGTCTGTAACACATTCCCTGCTTCATCGTCTTTACTGAATATGATATCGGGGAGGAGGTACATGAAAGATCTGGACAGAAAAGAAAATGAAAACTCTTTTCAATTTAGAAAAGACAGCATTACAATGGGAAGGGAGAAGTAACTGAATTACCAAGATGGTACTTTGAAAT